ATCTGCAATAGGGTTATATCTTTCAATCGTTTGGGATATGACCGCATCGGTCGATCCCGTCCAACGATTAAAGATAGTCAAACCACCAAAGGCATAGAGATAACCTCCATGAGCGCATAATCCAAAATCACACCGTGGGAGCATCATAGAAGATATCCCGGTCCAATTATCTTTCTGAGGATCATAAACATCACCATTTGCCAAAATCTGATTATCATGTCCCCGTTTTTTTATTTCTATCTCCCCTCCAACAACGAAAATTTTCCCATGTAAGACTGCTATTCCTGGCCCACATCTCTCAATTTTCATGGGGCAAACTTTATGCCATTTCTGCTTAAAGATATCAAAACATTCGACACTTTTATATGTAAACAGATCTGTTCTTCGAAAGGGGACACAGATTTCTCTCTTTTGTCCACCTAAGACATAAATTTTCTTTCGTGTAGAAATTCTTGGCTGGACATACGAGGCTTCCCTTTTGGCCAAGTTTGTGTGCTGTTTAAGGTTAACCTTCAATCTGATATCAGCGGAGCACTCACTAATTGATTTTTCTATTAGTTTACTTGGAATTAAAGACAATTTCAGTCGTTTTAAAATGTCAAAATTCCAACAACAATATCTATTATTTATATCTTGTGCTTGTGTAATCCATCTGATGGCAGCAGAGAATACCTGCAATAAATAATAAAGAAAGATAAATTAGAGTTCAAATTTTTGTAAAAGTCAATTGAAAGTTGTACGTACATATTAAATAAAAAAAAATATTTATATTTTACCTGAAACTCAGAGTCAATATGAAGATACTCTGAATCCAAAAAATACAGCAGAATTTCTTTCGGAATCTCAAGAAATTCTTGCTCCATTGTCACTTCTACGAAATTGGAGAAGATGAAATCCCGGGAAGAATGCAGCAACCTTACTAAATTATGGGCCTCAGCAAACCTGTTTTTTAAAATAAAATAAATATGGAATTAGTTACGTATAGGTGCAGATAAAAATACATATTATATAAATAGTTTGAAAATAATTAATTATTATACTGTACGTACCGGTAAATTCCTAAAGCATTAGATGGATGAAGTTCCCTCTTGAGAAAATCTGTACAAACAAGTACAGCACGGGACATTATCAGCATGTTTGCAGCCGCAATTAACTCCTGTGCGTTTTCCACTATTATCTTGATGTTTCCTAAAGTATTTAAAAAACAAAAATAAATTTTATAATTATTTCTTTTTGTTTTACATATAGCATAGCAATATGAAAACTTAAAATGTTTTCCCTTACCAGTATATATGAACTCGATGAGCAGTTTTAATATATTGGGTTTCATAAACTTCATTTCTATTGACTGTGTTGTTTTTTCAGCTAATCCACCAGTAAACATGGTCTTAAAATATTTGCTTCCCGCCGAGAGTATTACACGGTGAGCCTGTGGAATAAAATGTAATCTCCATCAGTTTTTTTTTTTTTTTATATTTGTCCCCGAGGGGGGCTAGTTTATTGATTGGGGTGGGTACGTTAAGGGGGCGTAAAAGTCTAGGTGAAGGGTCGTCGTCATAACATAGGTTTTGTCAAGTTTAAATAAAAATGAGAGATGGATTGAATTTGTAGGTGGTAGGGGGGGGGGGAGTTCCTGGTTATGATAAAGATTGACGTGACATTAATATGTCGTCAAATACCAGGCCTATGACTTGGAGGAGGACTGGGAGGAGGGATATTTTGTGGGAAGGAAAAAGTGTTGGTAACGGCCTGGGACCTATAGGAGGAGGTCATGGGGCAAGTGGAGGATGTAAAATGAGAGAGGCCATAATAACAGTGCGGTGAGGTACCTATAGATGTAGACTGGTCGAACAATAGGAAGCCAAAATAAAACCACTGCTAGGAAGCAAGCCAAAATCAAACCACTGCTAGGAAGCAAACCAAAAATTAAACCACTTCTAGGAAGCATTCAGAGAAGTTAGGAGATTTCTTCCACTATTCCTTGGTCCTAGACTCCTGGGCAGTTAGGGCGGCGGCGGGTAGAGTGTGGACGGTGTACTTCGATATGGGTATAAAAGGTGGGTGATGGAGGGCAGGCAGAGAAGAAAGTGTAGGAGATAAATACAGGTAAATGTTTCACTCACTCACCTTCACAACTGATCCATCAGCTAATAATATTTCTACATCACATAACTCTTGTGACTGCCAGAGGAAATGTATGTAGTCTAGTAGGTAGTTCGGATAAGATTTACATTCCTCTTCCTCCTCCTTCTCCTCCTCGTTATGAGAGAGCTCCACATGTGCAGCCGCCATCTTCAGATACTAATGTAATACTAACTAGTTGTCAGTTTTATTTTTAGTGGTGTGGTGATATCTGGTAATACCCGTAGTGGTGGTGGTGGTGGTGGTGGTGGTGGTGGTGGTGGTGGTGGTGGTGGTGCTTCCGTTGCTTCTTCCAACAGTAACAAAACTAAACTACAGCCACACTCCTAAGACAGTCAAACCACCAAAGGCATAGAGATAACCTCCATGAGCGCATAATCCAAAATCACCGTGGGAGCACCATAGAAGATACCCCGATCAAATTATCTTCCCAAAGCGGATCAGGATTATAAAGTTCATCGTCTGCCGGTTCAATTTCTATATGTAAGACTGCTACTTCTGGCCCTACACATCTCTCAATTTTCATTGGGCAAACTTTCTGCCATTTCTGCCTAAAGCCCATAAATGCTAGGCATTTAATTTTATTATTCTATATTTGTATATGCATAGCTAGGTTACACAGAAGATAGACTGCAAATGTTATTGCTCTATACTGTATGTGTGTGTGGGGGGTATGAGTTACTTTGGTTAAAGCCAAGATTTATATGTACTGTACAATATGTGTATAAAATATTAATGTAGTAGTCTTGTGTTTTCATATATAATGGTTGCCTTGCTACCTACTATAACATGCTCAACAATCTTGTAGATATTTAAATTTAAGATTATTTAAGAATTATACTGTTGGCTAAAATTTTACTAATGAATTGTTTTCTTTGCAGTACATCATGCAGATCTTCGTGAAAACCCTCACTGGAAAGACTATTACTCTTGAAGTAGAACCTTCAGACACCATTGAAAATGTAAAGGCAAAAATTCAGGATAAGGAAGGCATCCCCCCAGACCAGCAGAGATTGATCTTTGCTGGTAAGCAGTTGGAGGATTGTCGCATTCTTTCTGACTACAATATCCAGAAGGAATCTACACTCCATTTGGTATTGCGTCTTAGAGGAGGAATGCAGATCTTTGTGAAATTTACAGGAAAGCTTACCCTAGAAGTAGAACCTTCAGACACCATTGAAAATGTAAAGGCCAAAATTCAGGATAGGGAAGGCACCCCCCCAAACCAGCAGAAATTGATCTTTGCTGGTAAGCAGTTGGAGGATTGTCGCATTCTTTCCGACTGCAATATCCAGAAGGAATCTACACTGCAACTTATTAGAGAAGGAAAAGAAAACAACATCTCTGTGAAAACCCTTACCCTTACAGGAGACCATATTATCCTAGAATTAGAATCTTCACACGATATCACATTCCCCCCTTTGTTATTGTTGCGTCATAGAGGAATGCAGATCTTTATGAAAAAATAAAGTATTCCGGATGAAATGTTCAAATTTCCTTTAATGTATGGAATGGAAAAGATTTAATCACATTGTTATTATTTTAACCGAACCCAAATAAACACTTTTAAATTATTTTATTCATTGTTTTTTTATCACATACTGCAAAACCTATATATGTGAAAAACTGAATATTTTTGTTTTCTCGATTGGCTAATTTGCAATGTGACCTAACAGGTAGTTGGCAGTATGTTGGGAGAGTTTACAAAGAATACAAAACCGCAAATATATGTGAAAAACTGAGTATTTTTGTTTTCTCTATTATTTTTGTTTTCTCGATTGGCTAATTTGCAATGTGACCTAGCAGGTAGTTGGCAGTATGTTGAGATAGGTTGGGTAGAGTTTACAAAGAATAATACAACCCTCTATTATTTTTGTTTTCTCGATTGGCTAATTTGCAATGTGACCTAGCAGGTAGTTGGCAGTATGTTGGGATAGGTTGGGTAGAGTTTACAAAGAATAATACAATTTTATATCTTGCTTTTTATTTACTAAAATAAGAATGAGTGAGAATGAAGGAGGAGGAGGAGGAAATCAGTATATAGGTTTTCAAAGTTTCGAGTAGTCAAATTAAGACTGCTATAGCATTAGTCCGACTTTCAGGGAGTGGTGTACAGCTTATCCACTTGTTATTCTTAGGGTCGAAATACTCCACATTAGCGAGAGAAATCTAAAAAGAAAAAAAAAGTTATAAATATTATTATCAATATTTATCATTTTATATTAATCATTCTTTTATTCTTCTTTCCTTACCATTCCAATTCCATTCAAACCACTCCAGTAACCGCCTATGACATATAACAGAGAATTTGTGACAACAACTGCTGGGCTACTTCGACCCAAATACTCTGAAGACGAACACTTAAACCATTGGTTCTGTGGGAAAGTAAAAGAAAAAGGTTAAAACAAGAGTAAGGGGGCGGGAGGGGGGTATACAATTTTTTCCCTTTGTTCCTAAAGTATTACAACAATTCTTCCACTTCCTGGTTACAATATTAAACTTTAAGTACTGGTAAATAATCTTACCTGCTCAAAAGAATATCTTTTCATTGAATTTTCATCCAGAATACCATCACCTACTACGTACAAAAAATTATCTAAAACTGCAACGCCTATCGTCTTAGACGGTGGACCTTGCATTGATGTTAGATTCTTCCACTCTCCAGTTACAGGATTGTATGAGAGAAAATCATGCAGGGGATTGTAAGTGTCCGTATATCCACCAATAATGTAAATAAGACCTCGATGTTCTACTATACCCATGCTATAAAAAGAAAAAAAAAGGAAAAAAAACAGTACAGGTTACTGCGACATTTTCTCATTATTATTATTAGTAATTCACACTATCAGTAAATCAAAATTGTTATTGTACTGGTTATTGTACTTACTTGGATCTAGCTTCTGGCATATTTGACTCTAATAATCTCCACTCATCTGTAATAGGGTTATATCTTTCAATATTTTTTCCTATTTCCATTGAATCCGTCCAACCACCGAAGGCATAGAGATAACCACCATAAGCGCATAATCCAAAATCACACCGTGGGATTACCATAGAAGATATTCCAGTCCAATAATCTTCCTGTGGATCATAAACTTCGCCATCCGCCAAAATCTGAGCGTCTATCTCTCCAACCCCTCCAACCACGAAAATTTTTCCATGTAAGACTTCTATTCCTGGTGAAATTCTCCCAATTTTCATAGGACAAACTTTTTGCCATTTCTGCCTAAAGGTATCAAAACATTCGATACTTTTAAGTAGATATTCCTCTGATCTATTCCATATTATATTGAATTCTTTCCTTGATCCACCTATGACATAAATTTTCTTTCGATTACAAATTCTTGGCTGGACATAAAAGGAGGCTTCCTCTTTAGCCAAGTTTATCTGCTGTTTAAGGTTAACTTTCAATCTGATGTCAGAGCACTCATTAATTGCTTTTTCTATTAGTTTACTTGAAATTAAAGACAATTTCACTCGTTTTAAAATATCGAGAATCCAACAAAGTCTATCAGTTATTTCTTGTGTAATCCATCTGATGGCAGCAGAGAATACCTGCAATATAACAAAAGAAAAGAAAAAGAAAGTGAGAGCTGCAATAAAAAAAGAAAAAATAAATAAAATTTTCAATAAATAAATATTAAATAAAAAGAAAAATATATAATATTTACCTGAAACTCAGAGTCAATATGAAGATACTCAGAATCCAAAAAATATAGTAGAGTTTCTTTAGGAATCTCAAGAAACTCTTGCTCCATTGTCACTTCTACGAAATTGGAGAAGATGAAATCCCGCGAACCATTCAACAAGCTTACTAAATAATGGGCCTGAGCAAACCTGTAAAAAAAAAAAAAATAAAAAAAATAAAAAAATATCCTCTCTAGAATAGGATTAGATCGAATCAGAATCAATCAAATTAAAACAGAACAGAAACAAAATAAAAATTCGTTACCTGTAAATTCCCAAAACATTGGATGGATCAAGTTCGCTCTTGAGAAAGTCTGTACAAACAAATACAGCACGGGGCATGAACAGCATGTTCGCAGCCACAATTAACTCCTGTGCGTTTCCCACTGTTATCTCGATGTTTCCTAAAGTATTTTTACAAAAAAAGAAAAAAAAAATATTTCATTTCTTCATTTGCAACAAAATAAAAATTTTACTTATAGATAGCAGCTTAGCACTATGAAAACTTAAAATATTTTCCCTTACCAGTATATATGAAGTCGATAAGCAGTTTTAATATATTGGGTTTCATAGACTTCATTTCTATTGATTGTGTTGTTTTCTCAGCAAATCCACACGTAAACATGGTTTTAAAATAGTCACTTCCCGCTGACAGTATTACACGGTGAGCCTGTGGAATAAAATGTAATCTCCATGGTTCATTTTTTAAAATTTGTTAGTTCGTTCATACTGCCTTTATACATACATTAAGGGGACGTAAAAATCTGGGTGAAGAGTCGTTGTCATAGCATAGGTTTTGTGAAGTTACATAAAAGTGAGAGAATTATGGACGGACGGACAACAAAATCAAACCATTACCTGGAAGCAAACCAAAATTAAACCACTGCTAGGAAGCAAGCCCAAATCAAAGTACTGCTAGGAAACATTGATTCTATCGTGCGAAGAAAGTTGGATAAACAGCTCTTTATTTGTGTCGGGGGAGAAAGGAAGTTAGGGGAGAGCAGGGAAATTTCTTCCACTGCACTGGATAGACTTTGTTAATCATGTTCCACTGACTTCTCCTGGGCGGTAATAAGGAATGGAGGGTGAGTGTGGGCGGTGTAGTTAAGTTTCCCTCCCCCGATATGGTGTGTAAATGATGGGTGGGTGATGGAGGGCAGGCAGAGAAATGTTTCTTCACTCACAGATAAATGTTTCACTCACTCACCTTCACAACTGATCCATCAGCTAATAATATTTCTACATCACATAACTTTTCTGACTGCCAGAGGAAATGTATATCGTCTAGTAGGTAGTTAGGATAAGATTTACATTCCTCCTCCTCCTCCTCCTCGTGATGAGAGAGCTCCTCCACACGTGCAGCCGCCATCTTCAGATACTAATGTAAGACTAACCTAACCAGTTGTCAGCTTGGGAGAGAGAAGAGAGTAAATTGAGACTGCTCTAGCATTAATATATCAAGTTCCCGGTACATTTTATGTTAATAGGCTGTGATTAGGAGGAGGGATAGACTCAAGGTTTCGAGTCAAATTGAGACTACTAAAGCATCATTAGACCGTTCCTTAGGGAGTGATACCCATTCTGTAAAAAAAAAAAAAAAAGTATAGGCACTTATATTTTCCCATTATTATCAGTAGTTCACACTATCAGTCAGTAAATCCAATTTGAAAATTGTTATTGTACTTACTTGGATCTACCTTCTGGCATATTTGACTCTAATAATGTCCACTCATCTGCAATAGGGTCATATCTTTCAATACTTTTTTCGATGACCAATCCCGTCCAACCACCGAAGGCATAGAGAAAACCTCCATGAGCGCATAATCCAAAATCAGACCGTGGGATCACCATAGAAGATATTCCAGTCCAATAATCTTCCTGTGGATCATAAACTTCGCCATCTGCCCAAATCTGACTGTCCTCTCCACTCCCTCCAACAACGAAAATTTTCCCATGTAAGACTGCTATTCCAGGTGAACTTCTCACAATTTTCATAGGGCAAACTTTCTGCCATTTCTGCCTAAAGATATCAAAACATTCGACACTTTTTAAACTATACTCCTCTGATAGTTTCCATCCACCTATAACATAAATTTTCTTTCTAAGACAAATTCTTGGCTGGACAGAAAAGGCTGCTTCCTTTTTAGCCAAGTTTGTCTGCTTTTTAAGGTTAACCTTCAATTTAATATCAGCGGAGCAATCAGATTACATAAAAGTGAGAGAATTATGGACGGACAGACAACAAAATTAAACCACTGCTAGGAAGCAAGCCGCCCAAATCAAACCACTGCTAGGAAGCAAGCCGCCCAAATCAAATCACTGCTTGGAAACATTGATTCTCTCGTGAGAAGAAAGTTGGATAAGTAACTCTTTATTTGTGTCGGAGAAGAAGGGAAGTTGGGGGAACAGGGAAATTTCTTCTACTGTACTGGATATACTTTGTTAACCATGTTCCACTGACTTCTCCTAAACGGATGGTGAGTGTGGGCAGTGTAGTTAAGTTTCCCTCCCCCTATATGTGTGTAAATGGTGGGTGAGTGATGGAGGGCAGGCAGAGAAAGATATGTAGGTAGGAGTAAATGTTTCTTCACTTACAGATAAATGTTTCACTTACTCACCTTCACAACTGATCCATCAGCTAATAATATTTCTACATCACATAATTCTTGTGACTGCCAGAGGAAATGTATGTAGTCTAGCAGGTAGTTCGGATAAGATTTACATTCCTCTTCCTCCTCCTTCTCCTGCTCCTCTTTCTCCTTGTGATGAGAGAGCTCCACATGTGCAGCCGCCATCTTCAGATACTAATGTAATACTAACCAGTTGTCAGTTTTGTTTTTAGTTGTGTGGTGATATCTGGTAATATAGAGGAGAGATATACTCAAGATTTCGTGTGTTTATTATTTGTAATGGACTTAAAATGTAATATTTGTGTGTTAGGTTATTTGAGTGCCCATTAAAACTGGGGTCCATTAAGATTAAGGGCCCATTAAGACTAGGAGCCCCATCAACCCTGGGGCCCATTAAAGAAAACAACTTGACCGACCTGGATTAAAAAATAAATAAAAACATACACTTCTTTACTCTAGCATCAGACCGTTCCTCAGGGGTGTACAGTTTCTCCATTTGTTATCCTTAGGATAAAAATACTCCACATGACAATTTTAGTATATAATAATAAGAATTAATAAGACACATACACAGGAAGCAAAGTTTTGCTGTAACGTATGTGATGGGGTAATTAATATAAGCAACCTTCGCTATCACCAGTTACGTCACAGCAGCACCTCAAAGAAAACTTTTGAATTAATGTTTTGGATGCCTTGCGGCAGACTTTTTTTAAGCTACACACTTATCCTAACTAAACTTGGCCGTTAGCAAATGTGAAATTAAACAATTATAAGGATATTTTCAAATTTCATGTTAGGTAAGTTAAAAAGATAGAAAATTTTTCTAATTTTTATTTTATTTTAAATGGCCTCGCAACTGATCCATCAGCTGATGATATTTCTACATCAAGCAGGTAGTTCAGATAAGATTGTCAAATTGCAACTGCTCTAGCATCAATCCGACCCTCAGGAAGTGATGTACAGTGTATCCACCTATTATTCTTAGGGTCGAAATACTCCACATTCACATCAGTGACAAGTAGCTAAAAAAAAGAAAAAAAAATAGTTTAGGTTAAAACTTTGGATTATAAAGATTATTAATAAATATTATCAGTTTTCATTAATCATTCTTTTCAGTCTTCCTTACCGTGTTATCATCATTTCTAATGTCACCGCCTATGAAATATAACAGAGAATTTGTAGCAACAATTGCTGGGGAATTTAGACCGGAATACATTGATGAACACTTAAACCATTTGTTCTGTGGGAAAGTAAAAGAAAAAAAGGTAAAAGGAAGGGAGGGAGGTTATACAATTATTTACCAACAGTATTACAAATATTCTTCACATCCTGGCTGGCTACAATATAATAATAATTCATAAGCACTCCACGGTAAATAATCTTACCTGTTCAAAAGAATATCTTTCCATTTCCTCCAACTCAGTACCACCTACTACGTACAGAAAGTTATTCAAAACTGCAACACTTATCGTGTCACATGGTTCACCTAGCATTGGTGCTAGATTCTTCCACTCCTCAGTCACAGGATTGTATGAGAGAAGATCACGCAGGTCGTTGTCAGTGTCGTCCGTATATCCACCCATAATGTAAATGAGACCTCGATGTTCTACTATACCCATTCTGTAAAAGAAAAGAAAAGGAGAAAAAGACAAAAAAAAAAGTACAGGCCACTGCTACATTTTCTCATTATCAGTTACTATCAGTCAGTAAACCTAATTTGAAAATGGTTGAATTTTAACATTACAATTGTACTTACTTTTTTCTAGCTTCTGGCATATTTGACTTTAATAATCTCCACTCATCTGTAATAGGGTCATATCTTTCAATACTTTTTTCGACGACCGATCCCGTCCAACCACCGAAGGCATAAAGGTAACCTTCATGAGCGCATAATCCAAAATCACATCGTGGGGTAACCATAGAAGATATCCCAGTCCAATTATCTTCCTGTGGATTATAAACTTCGCCATCCGCCAAAATCGGAAAGGGTCTGGGTCTACCTCTCCTATCTCTCCAACCCCTCCCTCCAACAACGAAAATTTTTCCATGTAAGACTGCTATTTCTGGCCTTTCACTTTTTTTTTTCATCGGGCAAACTTTCTGCCATTCCTTCCTAAAGGTATCAAAACATTCTACACTTTTAAACGTCCCTAATCTATACCATACATTCCTTAATCCACCTATTACATAAATTTTCTTTCGAGTACAAATTCTTGGCTGGACATAAAAGAAGGCTTCCTCTTTAGCCAAGTTTATCTGCTGTTTAAGGTTAACTTTCAATTTAATATCAGCGGAGCACTCATTAATTGCTTTTTCTATTAGTTTACTTGAAATTAAAGACAATTTCACTCGTTTTAAAATATCGAGAATCCAACAAAGTCTATCAGTTATTTCTTGTGTAATCCATCTGATGGCAGCAGAGAATACCTGCAATATAACAAAAGAAAAGAAAAAGAAAGTGAGAGCTGCAATAAAAAAAGAAAAACGAAATAAAATTTTCAATAAATAAATATTAAATAAAAAGAAAAATATATAATATTTACCTGAAACTCAGAGTCAATATGAAGATACTCAGAATCCAAAAAATATAGTAGAGTTTCTTTAGGAATCTCAAGAAACTCTTGCTCCATTGTCACTTCTACGAAATTGGAGAAGATGAAATCCCGCGAACCATTCAACAAGCTTACTAAATAATGGGCCTGAGCAAACCTGTAAAAAAAAAAAAAATAAAAAAAATAAAAAAATATCCTCTCTAGAATAGGATTAGATCGAATCAGAATCAATCAAATTAAAACAGAACAGAAACAAAATAAAAATTCGTTACCTGTAAATTCCCAAAACATTGGATGGATCAAGTTCGCTCTTGAGAAAGTCTGTACAAACAAATACAGCACGGGGCATGAACAGCATGTTCGCAGCCACAATTAACTCCTGTGCGTTTCCCACTGTTATCTCGATGTTTCCTAAAGTATTTTTACAAAAAAAGAAAAAAAAAATATTTCATTTCTTCATTTGCAACAAAATAAAAATTTTACTTATAGATAGCAGCTTAGCACTATGAAAACTTAAAATATTTTCCCTTACCAGTATATATGAAGTCGATAAGCAGTTTTAATATATTGGGTTTCATAGACTTCATTTCTATTGATTGTGTTGTTTTCTCAGCAAATCCACACGTAAACATGGTCTTAAAATAGTCGCTTCCCGCTGACAGTATTACACGGTGAGCCTGTGGAATAAAATGTAATCCCCATCGTTTATTTTTTAAAATTTGTTAGTTCGTTCATACTGCCTTTATACATACATTAAGGGGACGTAAAAATCTGGGTGAAGAGTCGTTGTCATAGCATAGGTTTTGTGAAGTTACATAAAAGTGAGAGAATTATGGACGGACGGACAACAAAATCAAACCATTACCTGGAAGCAAACCAAAATTAAACCACTGCTAGGAAGCAAGCCCAAATCAAAGTACTGCTAGGAAACATTGATTCTATCGTGCGAAGAAAGTTGGATAAACAGCTCTTTATTTGTGTCGGGGGAGAAAGGAAGTTAGGGGAGAGCAGGGAAATTTCTTCCACTGCACTGGATAGACTTTGTTAATCATGTTCCACTGACTTCTCCTGGGCGGTAATAAGGAATGGAGGGTGAGTGTGGGCGGTGTAGTTAAGTTTCCCTCCCCCGATATGGTGTGTAAATGATGGGTGGGTGATGGAGGGCAGGCAGAGAAATGTTTCTTCACTCACAGATAAATGTTTCACTCACTCACCTTCACAACTGATCCATCAGCTAATAATATTTCTACATCACATAACTTTTCTGACTGCCAGAGGAAATGTATATCGTCTAGTAGGTAGTTAGGATAAGATTTACATTCCTCCTCCTCCTCCTCCTCGTGATGAGAGAGCTCCTCCACACGTGCAGCCGCCATCTTCAGATACTAATGTAAGACTAACCTAACCAGTTGTCAGCTTGGGAGAGAGAAGAGAGTAAATTGAGACTGCTCTAGCATTAATATATCAAGTTCCCGGTACATTTTATGTTAATAGGCTGTGATTAGGAGGAGGGATAGACTCAAGGTTTCGAGTCAAATTGAGACTACTAAAGCATCATTAGACCGTTCCTTAGGGAGTGATGTACAGTTTCTCCACTTTTTATCCTCAGGTTTTAGATTAAAACTTATTATAAAGGATTATTATAAAAATATTTAGGAATTATTAATATATTTTATTCTTATTTCCATTCTTCCTTACCAAGTTATGATAACCGTAACCGCCTATGACATAACAGAGGATTTGTGGCAGGCAACAACTGCTGGGATATTTCGACAAAATTAAACAATGGTACCATTGATCCACAAGGATACTTTATAAGAATACTTTCAAATTTCATGTTAGGGTAAGTTAAAAAAGATAGGAAACAAGCTTTTTTTTATTTAAAATGGATTAAATATGGAGGAGACAAATGTCAGTCTTGAGGGAAGTTTTCTTGATTGGGGATGTCGAAGGGAGTTAAAGTAAGACTGCTCTAGCATAAGACCGGCCCTCAGGGAGTGATGTACAGTTCATCCACTTATTAGTCTTAGGGTCGAAACACTCCACATTAGCGACAGATACCTTTAGAAAAAAAAACAGGTGGTTAGGTGGTTAAATTTGTAATATAATTTATTCATTTCATTCTTCCATTTCCATTCTTCCTTTCTTACCAGTTCAAGGTGGTCATTGGGACGATGACCACCTATGATATATAACAGAGAATTTGTGGCAACAACTGCTGGGATACTTCGCCAAAAATTCATTGATGAACACTTAAACCATTCGTTCTGTGGAAAGGAAAAGAAGGGAGGTTATACAACACTACATTATTACAAAAATTCTTCTCCCATATTACTTAAATTATTATTATTGTCTTTGGAAAGAGAAAAGAAGGGAGTTATACAATTTTTACTCCCTTTTCACTACTATAATTCAAATTGTATTGTATATAATTATAAGCATGCACATTACCTGTTCAAAAGAATATCTTTCTAGTGATTTTTCCCCTTCTTCATTAAAAAGACCACCCACTAAATACAAAAAGTTATTCAAAACTGCAACACCCATGTAGTTGTAGCGAGGTGGAGCACTCAGTGCTGCTAGATCTCTCCACTCCCCAGTTACAGGATTGTATGAGAGAAGTTCATGAAAGGGGTTATAAGAGTCCATACGTCCACTAACAATGTAAATAAGACCTTGATTTTCTACTATACCCATTCTGTAAAAAAAAAAAAAAAAGTATAGGCACTTATATTTTCTCATTATTATCAGTAGTTCACACTATCAGTCAGTAAATCCAATTTGAAAATTGTTATTGTACTTACTTGGATCTACCTTCTGGCATATTTGACTCTAATAATGTCCACTCATCTGCAATAGGGTCATATCTTTCAATACTTTTTTCGATGACCAATCCCGTCCAACCACCGAAGGCATAGAGAAAACCTCCATGAGCGCATAATCCAAAATCAGACCGTGGGATCACCATAGAAGATATTCCAGTCCAATAATCTTCCTGTGGATCATAAACTTCGCCATCTGCCCAAATCTGACTGTCCTCTCCACTCCCTCCAACAACGAAAATTTTCCCATTTAAGACTGCTATTCCTGGTGAACTTCTCACAATTTTCATAGGGCAAACTTTCTGCCATTTCTGCCTAAAGATATCAAAACATTCGACACTTTTAAATGTAAACCCATCTGATATATAGAGTTCTTTCATGAATCCACCTATGAGATAAATTTTCTTTCGAGTACAAATTCTTGGCTGGACAGAAAAGGCTGCTTCCTTTTTAGCCAAGTTTGTCTGCTTTTTAAGGTTAACCTTCAATTTAATATCAGCGGAGCACTCATTAATTGCTTTTTTTATTAGTTTACTTGAAATTAAAGGCAATTTCAGTCGTTTTAAAATGTCAAAATTCCAACAACAATATCTATTATTTATATCTTGTGCTTGTGTAATCCATCTGATAGCAGCAGAGAATACCTGCAATAAATAATAGAAAGATAAATTCGGGTTAATAATCTTGTAAATAAAAGTCAATTGAAAGTTGTACATATTAAATAAAAAAAAAATATTTACATTTTACCTGAAACTCAGAGTCAATATGAAGATACTCTGAATCCAAAAAATACAGCAGAATTTCTTTCGGAATCTCAAGAAATTCTTGCTCCATTGTCACTTCTACGAAATTGGAGAAGATGAAGTCCCGGGAAGAATGCAGCAACCTTACTAAATTATGGGCCTCAGCAAACCTGTTTTTAAAAAAAAAAAAAAAAATTATGTATAGGACAGATAAAAATACATATTATATAAACAGTTGGAAAATAATTAACTATTATTATTATACTGCACGTACCGGTAAATTCCCAAAGCATTAGATTGATGAAGTTCGCTCTTGAGAAAGTCTATACAAACAAGTACAGCACGTGATATCATCAACATGTTCGCAGCCGCAATTAACTCCTGTGCATTTTCCACTGTTATCTCGATGTTTCCTAAAGTTTTTGACAAAAAAAGAAAAAAAAAATTTCATTTATTCATTTGCAACAAAATAAAAATTTTACATATAGATAGCAGCATAGCACTATGAAAACTTAAAATATTTTCCCTTACCAGTATATATGAAGTCGACGAGCAGTCGTAATATATTGGGTTTCATGAACTTCATTTCTATTGACTGTGTTGTTTTCTCAGCAAATTCACACGTAAACATGGTCTTAAAATATTTGCTTCCAGCTGACAGTATTACACGGTGAGCCTGTGGAATAAAATGTAATCCCATCAGATTACATAAAAGTGAGAGAATTATGGACGGACAGACAACAAAATTAAACCACTGCTAGGAAGCAAGCCGCCCAAATCAAACCACTGCTAGGAAGCAAGCCGCCCAAATCAAATCACTGCTTGGAAACATTGATTCTCTCGTGAGAAGAAAGTTGGATAAGTAACTCTTTATTTGTGTCGGAGAAGAAGGGAAGTTGGGGGAACAGGGAAATTTCTTCTACTGTACTGGATATACTTTGTTAACCATGTTCCACTGACTTCTCCTAAACGGATGGTGAGTGTGGGCAGTGTAGTTAAGTTTCCCTCCCCCTATATGTGTGTAAATGGTGAGTGAGTGATGGAGGGCGGGCAGAGAAAGATATATAGGTAGGAGGTAAATGTTTCTTCACTTACAGATAAATGTTTCACTTACTCACCTTCACAACTGATCCATCAGCTAATAATATTTCTACATCACATAATTCTTGTGACTGCCAGAGGAAATGTATGTAGTCTAGCAGGTAGTTCGGATAAGATTTACATTCCTCTTCCTCCTCCTTCTCCTGCTCCTCTTTCTCCTTGTGATGAGAGAGCTCCACATGTGCAGCCGCCATCTTCAGATACTAATGTAATACTAACCAGTTGTCAGTTTTGTTTTTAGTTGTGTGGTGATATCTGGTAATACCCGTGGTGGTGGTGGTGGTGGTGGTGGTGCTTCCGTTGCTTCTTCAAACAATAACAAAACTAAACTACAGCCAGCAGCCTCTTTCTTTCAGTATGTTGGGGTAATTTAATATGTAATATTTGTGTGTTAAGTTAGTTGAGTGTCCATTAAAACTGGGGCCCATTAAGACTAAGGGCCCATTAAGATTAGAGGCCCCATTAACCCTGGGGCCCATTAAAGAAGACCTGGATAAAAAAAAGCAAAAAAATATACACTTTTTTACTCATCATACCGTTCCTCAGGGGTGTACAGTTTCTTCATTTGTTATCCTTAGGATCAAAATACTCCCTCTACATGACAATTTTTTACTTCTTTTTCACTATAGTTAAGCATAAGTCACATGACAAGGAAGCAAAGTTTTGCTGTAACGTATGTGATAAGCAACCTTAGCTATTACCAGTTGTGTCACAGCAGCTCAAAGAAAACTTTTGAATTAATGTTTTGGATACCTTTTTTTTAAGCTACACACTTATCCTAACTAATCTTGGCCGGTTAGACAGCTTTGGTCAGTTCTTTATTACTTTAAAATTTCATATTAGGTAAGTTAAAAAGATAGAAAGCAAGCTTTTTTTTATTTTAAATGGATTAAATATGAAGATAATGTCAGTCTTGAGGAAGGTTTCTCTTCAAGCCCCCTGCTCCTTTGTCACTTCCACGAAATTGGTCAAGATGAAGTCCCGTGAAGAATGCAGCAACGATACTAAATTATGGGCCTCAGCAAACCTGTTCCCCCAACAAAAAGAAAAAAAATGGGATTTAGTTCAAATTCTGCATTGTATACGTACATATACAAATAAAAAACATCAAAACAAGAAAATAATATTAATTATTATACTGTACGTACCTGTAAATTCTTAAAGCATTGGATGGATGAAGTTCTCTCCTGAGAAAGTTTGTACAAATACGTACAACCTGGGGTATTCCTATCATGTTTGCAGTCACAATTAACTCCTGTATGTTTTCCTTTGTTATCTCGATTGTTCCGAAATTATCCTCACCAGTATATATAAATTCTATGAGCAGTTTAAATAGATTAAATTTGTGATCCACACGTGTCGCCGCCATTCTCAAATACTAATGTAACACTAACCACACAACCCACCAGTGTTTTTTGTAAATAGTGGTAGTGGTGATATCTGGTAATTTTAACAGAGAGGGGGAGGTAAGAGGTGGTGGTGGTGATGCTTCCGTCCTCACCTCCAAACAGTAGCAAAACTAAACTACAGCAGCCTGGGATAGGTAGTAAAAACTATACATTAATTTAAGTTTTTATTTTTATTTTAAGTGTGTGTTTGAGGATGAAGAGGAAGAAGAGGACCTGCAAGTTTCTTTGTTGGATATTCTTCAGCTTCTTGAGCTTGGGGAAGTGTCAAGAAGAGAGAGAGAAGAGAAAGAAAGTCAGTCAAATTGTGACTGCTTTAGCATCAGACCGACCCTCAAGTAGTGGTGTACAGTTTCTCCTCTTGTTGTTATTCTTAAGGTCAAAATACTCCACAGCGACAGATACCTTTAAAACATTGTATATATTAATATCAGTTTTCCATCATTAATCATTAATCCATTTCATTCTATTCTTCCTTACCAATCTCTTCTTTACCTCAATGTCACTTTTTCTACAGTCACCTATGACATATAACAGAGAATTTGTGGCAACAACTGCTGGGCTATTTCGACAAAAAATTTATGAACACTTAAACCATTTGTTCTGAAACAGAAGAGGTTATATAATTACTTACAATTCTTCGTCATAATTGTAATTCAAAATAATAAGAATTTATAAGCACTGGTAAATAATCTTACCTGTTCAAAAGAATATTTTTCCATTGATTTTAGGCACCGAATCCGAATACCACTACCTACACCTACTACGTACAAAAAGTTATCCAAAAGTACAACACCTATTGGTAAAGAAGATGGACCTATTATTGGTGCTAAATTCTTCTACTCCCCAGTCACAGGATTGTATGAGAGAAGATCACGATTTTGCAGGTGGTCGAAAGTGATCTTATATCCACCAACAATGTAAATAAGACCTTGATGTTCTACTATACCCATTCTGTAAAAAAAAAAAACAGTACAGGCCACTGCAAAATTTTCTCATTATCAGTAATTCACACTATCAGTCAGATAAATTTATTTGAAAATGATGATTTTTAACAACAGTAGAAGTTTGACTCTAATAATCACTCCGAGAGAGAAGAGTCGTCACTTGTTTCAAAATGTCAAAAAAAGAGTAGATAAATTTGATTGATTTTAGTCTACTACGCAGCCGCAATTAACTCCTGTGCGTTTTCCACTGTTATCTCGATGTTTCCTAAAGTATCACTTACTCACCTTCACAACTGATCCAAATTGTGACTGCTTTTACATTCCTCCTCCTCCTCTCCTCGTGATGAGAAAGCTCCACCACACATGCAGCTTCAGATACTAATTATAAGGATACTTTCAAATTTCATGTTAGGTAAGTTAAATTAAAAGATAGAAAGCAAACCTTTTTTATTTTAAATGGATTAAATATGAAGATAATATCAGTCTTGAGGAAGGTTTAGGGAGTCAAATTAAGACTGCTCTAGAATAAGACCGGCCCTCAGGGAGTGATGTACAGTTCATCCACTTATTATTCTTAGGGTCGAAATATTCCACATTAGCGACAGATACCTAAAAAAAAAGTTAGAAGGTTAAAATTGTAATATAATTCATTCCATATAATTAATTCATTTCATTCTTCCATTGCCATTCTCCCTTTCTTACCAATCTATTAAGGTTATTTTGACGGTGACCTCCTATGACATATAACAGAGAATTTGTGGCAACAACTGCTGGGATACTTCGATCAAAATTCATTGATGAACACTTAAACCATTTGTTCTGTGGAAGGAAAAGAAGGGAGGGGAGGTTATACAATTTTTACTCCCTCTTTTCATTACACTACATACAGTATTACAAAAATTCTTCTTCAATATACTTAAATCATTATTGTTGTCTTGGGAAAGAGAAAAGAAGGGAGTTATACAATTTTTACTCCCTTTTCACTACTGTAATTCAAATTGTATTGCATGCATATTACCTGTTCAAAAGAATATCTTTCTAGTGATTTTTCCGCTTCTTCATTAAAAAGAAGGCCACCCACTAAATACAAAAAGTTATTCAAAACTGCAACACCCATGTAGTTGTAGCGAGGTGGAGCACGTCCTGCTAGTGCTCTCCACTCCCCAGTTACAGGATTGTATGAGAGAAGATCATGCATGGGGTTGTAAAAGTCCATATATCCACTAACAATGTAAATAAGACCTTGATGTTCTACTATACCCATGCTGTAAAAAGAAAAAAAGTATAGGCACTGTTATATTTTCTCATTATTATCAGTGTTCATACTATTAGTCAGTAAATCCAATTTGAAAATTGTTATTGTACTTACTTGGATCTACCTTCTGGCATATTTGACTCTAATAATCTCCACTCATCTGTAATAGGGTCATATCTTTCAATACTTTTTTCCATAACCGATCCCATCCAACCACCGAAGGCATAGAGATAACCTCCATGAGCGCATAATCCAAAATTACACCGTGGGATCACCATAGAAGATATTCCAGTCCAATAATCTTCCTGTGGATTATAAACTTCGCCATCCGTCAAAATCTGACTCTCCTTTCCAATCCCTCCAACAACGAAAATTTTTCTATGTAAGACTGCTATTCCTGGTGAATTTCTCACAATTTTCATGGGGCAAACTTTCTGCCATATCTGCCTAAAGATATCAAAACATTCGACACTTTTTTTAAATTTATTTTGGTAATAGTTTTCTTTCTTTAATCCACCTATGACATAAATTTTCTTTCGAGTACAAATTCTTGGCTGGACATATAAGGCTGCCCTTTTGGCCGCCAAGTTTGTCTGCTGTTTAAGGTTAACCTTAAATCTAATATCAGAGGAGCATTCATTAATTAATTTTTCTATTAGTTTACTTGAAATTAAAGATAATTTCATTCGTTTTAAAATGTCAAAATACCAACAACCATATCTATTAGTTCTTCGTGTAATCCATCTAATAGCAGCAGAGAATACCTGCAATAAATAATAGAGAAAGTTAATTTTGATAGTTGGGGATTAAAACTTTATTATATAAAGTCAGTTGAAAGTTTGTAATATTAAATAAAAAAAATTATTTTACCTGAAACTCAGAGTCAATATGAAGATACTCTGACTCAAGAAAATACAGTAGAATTTCTTTCGGAATCTCAAGAAATTCTTCCTCCATTGTCACTTCTACGAAATTGGAAAAGATGAAATCCCGCGAAGAATGCAGCAACCTTACTAAATAATGGGCCTTAGCAAACCTGTTTAAAAAAAAAACAATATGGAATTAGTTACGTCGTATTATATAAATAGTTTGAAAATAATTAATTATTATACTGCACATACCGGTAAATTCCCATAGCATTAGATGAATGAAGTTCACTCTTAAGAAAGTCTGTACAAAACCGTACAGCACGGGACATCATCAGCATGTTCGCAGCCGCAATTAACTCCTGTGCATTTTCCACTGTTATCTTCATTTTTCCTAAAGTATTAAAAAAAAGTTTTTTATTCATAATGTATTTCGTTTTAATTTAAATATAAGTATAGCAGCATTATGAAAACTTAAAATGTTTCCCCTTACCAGTATATATGAAGTGGACGAGCAGTTGTAATATATTGGGTTTCATAGACTTCATTTCTATTGACTGTGTTGTTTTCTCAGCAAATCCACACGTAAACATTGTCTTAAAATAATCGCTTCCTCCTGACAGTATTCCACGGTGAGCCTGTGAAATAAAATGTAATCCATCAGTTTTTGTTTTTTAAGATTTGGGTGATGGAGGGCAGAGAAAGATATATCACTCACTCACCTTCATAATTGATCCATCAGCTAATAATATTTCTACATCACATAACTGTTGTAACTGCCAGAGGAAATGTATGCAGTCTTGCAGGTAGTTAGGATAAGATTTACACTCCTCCTCCTCCTCCTCCTCGTAATGAGAGATCTCCACACGTGCAGCCGCCATCTTCAGATACTAATGTAATACTAACCAGTTGTCAGTTTTGTTTTTAGTGGTGGTGTGGTGATATCTGGTAATACCCGTGGTGATGGTGGTGGTGGTGGTGGTAGTGGTGGTGGTTGTGGTGGTGATTCTTCTGTTGCTTCTTCAAACAGTAACAACTATAAACTACAGCCAGCAACAGAAGTATTTTATTTTTTTATTTTAAGTGTGTGTGTTGAAGAGAGATGAGAGGAGGATGAAGAGACTTTAAAGTTTCTCGTGGGATATTCTTGATCTTGAGCTTGGGAGAGAAGAGATATCAAGTTTCCGGTTCATTTTATGTTAATAATATCAAATGCCGGCTGGGCTGTGACTAGAAGGAGGGGAGAGTGAGGGGGTGTAAGGGAGAGTGAGGAAGTGTAAGGGCACATCAGATTTTTTTTTATTTGTCTCTGGGATGGTTGTGGCAGTCTTCCCATAAGTGAGGCAGCTGATGTGATTGTATGCAAAAAATATATTTCTCGCTCACCTTCACAACTGATCCATCAGCTGATAATATTTCTACATCAGTAGGTAGTTCAGATAAGATTGTCAAATTGAAACTGCTCTAGCATCAGACCGACCCTCAGGGAGTGATGTACAGTTTATCCACCTATTATTCTTAGGGTCGAAATACTCCACATTAGCGACAGATATCTAAAAAGAAAAAAAAATAGTTTGAGGTTAAAACTTTGGATTATAAAGATTATTAATAAATATTATCATTTTTCATTAAGCATTCTTTTCATTCTTCCTTACCAGGCTATTATAATTTCTACTGTAGTCACCGCCTATGACATATAACAGAGAATTTGTAGCAACAACTGCTGGGCTATGACCGAAATACATTGATGAACACTTAAACCATTTGTTCTGTGAGAAAGTAAAAGAAAAAAGGTAAAAGGAAGGGAGGGAGGTCATAAAATTTTTATCCCTTTTCACTAAGTATTATAAATTGAAAATTCAAACTTTATCGTATATAATCTCATAATCTTACCTGTTCAAAAGAATATCTTTCCATTGATTTTTTCCCATTATTATCACCTACTACGTACAAAAAGTTATCTAAAACTGCAACGCCTATCGTCTTAGATGGTGGACCTAGCATTGGTGCTAGATTCTTCCACTCCCCAGTCACAGGATTGTATGAGAGAAGATCATGCAGGGGATTGTAAGTGTACGTATATCCACCAATAATGTAAATAAGACCTCGATGTTCTACTATTCCCATCCTGTAAAAGAAAAGAAAAGGAGAAAAAGAAAAAAAAACAGTACAGGCTACTGCTACATTTTCTCATTATCAGTTACTATCAGTCAGTAAATCTAATTTGAAAATGGTTGACATTACAATTGTAACTAGAGCAATCTTTGTAGCAACAACTGCTGGGCTATGACCGAAATACATTGATGAACACTTAAACCATTTGTTCTGTGAGAAAGTAAAAGAAAAAAGGTAAAAGGAAGGGAGGGAGGTCATAAAATTTTTATCCCTTTTCACTAAGTATTATAAATTGAAAATTCAAACTTTATCGTATATAATCTCATAATCTTACCTGTTCAAAAGAATATCTTTCCATTGATTTTTTCCCATTATTATCACCTACTACGTACAAAAAGTTATCTAAAACTGCAACGCCTATCGTCTTAGATGGTGGACCTAGCATTGGTGCTAGATTCTTCCACTCCCCAGTCACAGGATTGTATGAGAGAAGATCATGCAGGGGATTGTAAGTGTACGTATATCCACCAATAATGTAAATAAGACCTCGATGTTCTACTATTCCCATCCTGTAAAAGAAAAGAAAAGGAGAAAAAGAAAAAAAAACAGTACAGGCTACTGCTACATTTTCTCATTATCAGTTACTATCAGTCAGTAAATCTAATTTGAAAATGGTTGATTTTTAACATTACAATTGTACTTACTTTTTTCTAGCTTCTGGCATATTTGATTCTAATAATCTCCACTCATCTGTAATAGGGTCATATCTTTCAATACTTTTTTCGACGACCGATCCCGTCCAACCACCGAAGGCATAAAGGTAATCTCCATGAGCGCATAATCCAAAATCACATCGTGGGGTAACCATAGAAGATATCCCAGTCCAATTATCTTCCTGTGGATTATAAACTTCGCCAACCGCCAAAATCGGAGAGGGTATCTCCTCTCCAACCCCTCCAACAACGAAAATTTGTCCACGTAAGACTGCTATTTCTGGCCAAATTCTTATATTTTTCATGGGGCAAACTTTCTGCCATTCCTTCCTAAAGGTATCAAAACATTCGACACTTTTAAACATATATTCCTCTGATCTATTCCATAATCTAATGAGTTCGTTCTTTGATCCACCTATGACATAAATTTTCTTTCTAGTACAAATTCTTGGCTGGACATAAAAGGAGGCTTCCTTTTTAGCCAAGTTTATCTGCTGTTTAAGGTTAACTTTCAATCTGATGTCAGAGCACTCATCAATTGATTTTTCTATTAGTTTACTTGAAATTAAAGATAATTTCACTCGTTTTAAAATGTCAAGAATCCAACAAAGTCTATCAGTTATTTCCTGTGTAATCCAACTGATGGCAGCAGAGAATACCTGCAATATAACAAAAGAAAAAGAAAGTGAGCTGCAATACCCCCCCTCAAAAAAAAAAAAGATTTTTGAAATTGATAAATAAATATTAAATAAAAAGAAAAATATCTAATATTTACCTGAAACTCAGAGTCAATATGAAGATACTCTGAATCCAAAAAATACAGCAGAATTCTTTCGGAATCTCAAGAAATTCTTGCTCCATTGTCACTTCTACGAAATTGGAGAAAATGAAGTCCCGGGAAGAATGCAGCAACCTTACTAAATTATGGGCCTCAGCAAACCTGTTTAAAAAAAAAAAAATAAAAAATACGTATAGGACAGATAAAAATACATATTATATAAACAGTTGGAGAATAATTAATTAATTATTATTATACTGCACGTACCGGTAAATTCCCAAAGCATTAGATGGATAAAGTTCGCTCTTGAGAAAGTCTATACAAACAAGTACAGCACGTGATATCATCA